GTTCCCTGTAACTTGGCTTCTCGTAGCGAGGGAACCGCCAGAAGGCCCTCGGCGCTGGACTTCAGTGTCCAGGCAGAACGATGGAGGTGGGGACGCTCCTTCAGGTATACTGGACCGAGGCCATTTAGGGCTTTAAAGGTCAGTAGGTGATCACATTGGGAATAAGATTACTACCGCCTAATCTCTGAGATTCCACAGACAGAGTTGAAAGTATAAGATCCGCTGATGATAGTGGTCCCTGCTTTGGCAATAAATTGAGAAAATCAAACACGCTTGCTTGTTGCAAATACTTGGGGGTGGGGGCTGAGGGGAGGACGGCATAGAACAGCCTGAGGATCAGCATTGCATCTCATGTCTGGCTGCTGCTACTGCATTCTCAAGACATAAAACAATAACTGTAGCAAATGGCAGCTTGACCATCCTTCATCCTTTCTCATCATAACATTGTAGGCCACATGCCCCATTACAGCTGATCCAGTTCTTGTGCTGAGCAGAGGGAATATAAGAAAAGCCTGATCATCAGACTGAGTCCATTAAACCCAATTCTGACTCTCAGACAGAAGGAAGATTAATTGAAGAGATAAGGGAGGGAAAAGCTATTCCAGGTTGGATAACCAACATGGTACCCTCCAAATGTTGTTGGACTACGATTCCCATCAGCGATTCCCAAATACCACAACCAATGGTCCAGGATGATGGGAGTTATGATTCAGCAATATCTGGTGGGCACCACATTGACTCCTCATGCCTTTGAAGGTAACTACTGAAACACCCTGGGAAACTGGGTGGAGGAAGCTACTGAAGTAGGGTCAGGGAGAATGATGTGGTGGATCTACTGCTACGCTGCGGGTCCTGCAAGCTTGCCCTAGCCAGGGCAGGAGGTAGAGGAAGTTTCTTCCAATTTTTCAGTATACCAGCTCCTGTAGATGAGGTCCTCCTTTGGAAAATCCAAACAGACAGAGTTTTGGATCATTTGGATCCAAATCTGCCAACACCCCAACCAAAAATGTCACATTTTGCAAATTTGTTACTTCTGCCACTGTTGAGAGAACTAGGGTGGGAGATAGTTTTCCACCCACCTAGGAAGAGCCCGCAACTGGTGCCATATCTCTCTGCTGATGTAGGCGGGTGAAGACGCAACTAAGCATGATCATACCACCCCAGTCAACAACATCAATGTGTGCATTAAGACTGCACTCTTAGTCCCATATCAAAACTTGACACAGATTTGCAAATCCTTGCTTTGCCTGATGACCAAACAAATTAACAAACTTAGATGTTTTGAGGTTTCTAGGAAGACTGAACCTGAAGTGATATTGTGCACAGGAATTTAGCCTGGGTCTTCTCCAAGGCAAAGATTGGGGATCTGTAGCCCTCCAAATGCTGTTGGACCACAACTCCCATCATCCTCGACCAATGGCCTTGCTTCTAGGGCTAGTAGGAGCTGGAGTCCAATAACATACAGAGGTCCACAGATTCCACATCTCACTGTAAGGCCAAGTTTACAAGTAAAACTGGCATTCCAGCTGGCCCTGCAAGCCCCACCTATGTGAGGGCCTCTCTCCTTCTATGAACATGTAACAAAATGGTTCAGGCTAGGTAAAACCACTACTGGGGAACCGCTTGAAAATGAAGAGTGTCCTGAAAGCTGATATAATTAACATGAATCACAAGGGTGCTTCTTCATCAAAGAGACTAGTCAGATGGAATGGCAACAGCCGGCCAGTATTTTAACCAATGAGGCTCAGTTTGGTGAGCTCTCATTAAGCATTTTGGCATTAATGACGTCTATCTGGACCAAGGTTTAAAGAAAACAAGATGATTTATTTCTTGTTTGGGAGAAGAGTTTGGCCAGTGCTGATTTTTCTTTTCAAGTTAGCTATTTATTTCAATACCTAAAACACAACATATTCACGATATTTTACTTCCACACTGTGTCCTTTCCCCCATCCATTCATCATAAAGCTCCAAATACCACCCATGCTCAACTGTTTCCAATGCGATCATATTGTTGTCCATTCCACAACCAAATATATAGAACCCATCCATCATGCTGCTGCTATAAGCAGAACACAACACTAAAATAAGAATGTAGGATATGCACCGAAATAAGCTTGGACAGCAGCGCTCTTCTCAAAAAGGAACCTCTAATTCATATCTTAGTCAATTCAAATTGTAACATTGCACAGAATAAATCCCATTCAGCTTTCTAATAAATACGCATGTGAGATGCCCATATACATTCAAGCATACATTCCTATGGCAACAGATGAAGTTATGGCCTATTCTTAGCTTCACAGTATCACAGAAAACACTCCGTTTCAAGCTATGGAAGTAAATAAGCAATCTCTTTTTCCTCCTTGCTTTCGTACCTGGTATTACTGAAATCTCTTTTAAGTTTGACGAATTGAAGACTGATTCAACTGGAAGCAGCATCCTTCACATTGCAAACACAATATTTATAGCTTCATGGTGGCTCTTAACAGTTGAAACACAAAAGACTGTGCAACATGTATGCATACATAAATGACTAATCAGGTTGTGGCACTTATATCGTATGTTCCCTGTTGCATAAATATTATGGAGGCAGTTATACTTTATCAGGATGAATAAAACATTTTGTGGGATTGAATAATTGATGTGAATGAGATCTATTGAAATATCTCCCTTCATTACTCATTTGCTGGAATTATTCCATATATCTGCCTCCTGTTATAATTTTATACACGTTCCACAGATGTGTTGACCATATATGGCAAAAGAAAAGAAAAACCATCTTGAGAAAATCCAAAAAAATATTTATGGCATTTTGCAAATTAGCCACCCATGAGTTTTGGTATTTAGAGTTTCACTTAAGTGCCCTTAAAAAAGAGTGTAAGAACTTCAAAAGTCAATTATAGAACAAGCAGATTCTGAACCACAGAAAGCTCTATTTTTCTTCGGTTGGTAATCTATATAATAACTTGGTGCTATTCATACTTTTTACTGAAAATAGTCAGCATATGCTACAGGATGATTAAAATACATTATACCTGTAGGGTTTTTTTAATTAACTTATAATTAGAAGAGATGAACCCGTGCTTATGATGCTTCATTTCATTTTAGGCATAAAAGAGGAAGAGATAAATACAACGTAATGCTGTTGTCATGTAAAATTGCAAAGCAATTGGTACCCTGTTAAGTTTTATAGTTCATAAAATTGTATGGATTAGATCTTATAAGAACTTCCCTCCATAAGCTGTGTTATTATTTTTACCTCCACTTCTACCTCTGCTGTATATTCATAGTTGGTTTGGTTGCTAAAACTCTAAGGTTGCTAGACAGCCATAGAGACTATATTTAAATTAAGAAAATGATTTCTTCATTAATAAAATAGTTTCTTACACATTTCTTTTTTAATCTGCTTAATTGATCTCTGGATGGGGTGAGGAAGGAGTGTTTGCTGAAGATTTGGTTTTTTAAGGAGCAACTCACTGGAGCCAACTAATTACTATTTTTACCCCTCTCACCCACAGAATATTCTGGATCACAGCCCTCAAGTAATAAAAATAATAATTGCGAAGGGTCTTTTTAAGTAGCCATAGTTTGTACAAAGCAGCAGGTATTTTTTTTTATTACCAAAAAGTTATACAAACAATATGAAATAGCAAGACAAATTTTAAGAAGTTCCCAAATGCTCTAGGTGTATCATTGAGTTCCCACCTCTGCAAAGGTCCTTGTACACTTCAGCTGAAGGTCCCCCCCCAACTCAGTTTTGAGCACCTTGTTCACCTCTCTCATCTTCCTTCCCCCCCCCAAACCACCTATGCACAAAATGGACATATCATTATTACTGATTTGTGTTTCCTCTCTTCCCCTCTCTTGCCTTTTTAAACGCAGCTTCCCCATCTGTTCTTTCTGAAGTTGTGCTTAGTCCCTTCCAGTGTTTTCCTCTTTAAAAGGATTCTCTGCCTGCAGAAAGCCAGGAGCAACGTGACTGAAATCTTTCATTTCTCCACTGGGACTTCAGCTAGGAAGCTGCAATTGATTTGCAGGGGGGCTTTCTGCCTCTGCTTGTATTATCTAGTTAAGGGCCAGCCTACTGTGCAAGGGAAATCAAAGTAGATGGAGTTGAAGTCGAATGGCAGAAAGGAGAGAGATTTATTACAAGTCTGAAAGGTGCAGATCTGGAGGGAGAGGGGCTGGGGTTAGGAATTTCCACCACTAATTAGTTTGAGGCAGTTTCAACTGCCCCCCCCATCTCCATCCCTAACAGATGCTGATGCCCAATTGCCACCAGCATCCTAGCCTGCCAATCATCGGGTTTAAAGAATTGCTGCCCAATGAAGCCTGGTCACCGTATCGTATTAATGAGAGAGATCTAAGGCAGAGTCAATTAAATCAAATTCCCACCCACCTCCCTAGTCTATCTGCAGTGTGCAGCCACAGCAGCAGTATTGGCACCAAAGGCATCCCCAGTATTAATAAAGGTTTTCAGTGCTGCATTCAAGGCAGGGGGAGGAAGGGGGAGGCAGCAAGAATTGCCGAGTGAAATTGACATGGTTAAGAACCAGAGAGAAACACACTGCAGCTTTCACACTGGAGTGAAAGCAAAGAGGCTTTTTTCATTTATTCCCCCCCCCAACTTTTTTAAAAATGAAAAGGGTGGGAATCCCACTTGTGTTCAGAAAGTGATAGTGGGGGGGGGGGTTTAAAAAAATTGGAATGACTCGAGCTTTGAAAACATTTTCACTTTAATACTGAAAAAATATGCCATTATAAAATCCTCGAATATAATTAATTAAGTCTCGCTTGCTTTCTCCTCAGCTCAGGTTTTTTTCTCCCTCCAGTTTTTAAGAGTGTGATTTACAAGAGCAGGAAAAAAAAATCTTACTCCCATTCAACTTTGCAGCTTAAGCACTCAAGTGGCATTAATTGAACATGCTTAACTGCTTGGGATGTCTTTGTTTTTTTAAAAAATAGTTTAACACTTTTAATCATCAGAGAAAATGCTGAGGGTATTTTTTTTTTTTTTTACATTCAGATGGAAAGGCATTATTGGAGATGTTAATTTCCAAAGGAAACTCAAAAATAACCAGAAGCAAACTGGCCCCTTCCTCCCTCCCCCAAACAGAGAGAAAATCCACCCAACAAAGTAATTCATTTTCCTACACCCCCAAACGCAAAACCTGAAACCCATGATATAGCCATGCAAACATGTCTTAAATAAAATCTTTACATTTTTTCCTTGTTTGTTTCACAGTAAAAGGACGATCTCTACTGCCTAGCAATCACACAAAAATAATGGCAAAATGGCACTTTTTATTCTTATTATACTGTATTTTTTTTATATAGAAAGTTTGATATGATGGAACTTATCAGGTAAGAGGGAGGACGAGGTGAACTGGACGCTGCTTCCATTGGGGGCTGAAGCGTCCCTGGGTGGTTTGTATCCATGCGAACCATGCAGCAACTTGGGTTTGTTTGTCTGTTTAGATCAGAGTCATTTATTTACAATACATTCATGCCTTCGTGCAACTGGACACTCTTGCTTTGTTTGCAATGGGGAGGGCGCCAGGGGGAGCCCTCGTCTCCCCAGCACATACATACACACACAGGGCCCATAGATCCACCTGGTCATAGGTCACCTTGCAGGAGAGTGCGTTCATATTTACTCTCTCTCTCTCTTTAACCCCTAAGTCGAGCCATCCTCTTTGACTGGAACTTTCTATCTTTCTTTCCTTGCCACTGGCTTTGCGGTGCACATTTTTTACACCAAGCACAGCCTCAAGTTGGAGGCTTGGCCAAAGGGGGGGGGGGAGCAGGCCTCCACTCACAGCATTTCTCCCCAGTTTGGTGAGTGAGTGAGTGGGTAGGTGTTTTTTCACCAGAAGGTAGCTTTAAGGTGGGCAAAGCCCCATCCCATGTTGTGGTCCATTCACATCAGCGGACGAGACAGCAATGCACAGATCAGGAAAAGGGAGCTTTGAGCCACCGGAGGGAAGTTGAGGTTGCTAGCTGCTGAACTTGAACTGATTGCCCATAATATGATTTAAAATTTTAATGGTTTTTTTGTTTTTGTATTTCCCCAGTCTGTTGTCTCAGTCTGATAGGGAGTGAGAGCCACAGTCGTATACTCGATGGGCTCCATCTGCATTGTAGGGTCCATTATGCCAGTAGGAAGAGTCGCAGACTGTCTGTAAGGAGTTGATCTCTGAGGCTGAGGAGTTGGCATCCCTCCTCTTTGAGCGCTTCCGGTTCCTCAAGATAAAGACCAGCATGCCCACCACTGTGAATGCAGAGGTGACGAAGACCAGCAAAAGGCCAGGCACCAGCACCGAGATGGAGACCCTGCTAGTCTCCAGGTAGGAGTTGGAATGTGTCCCAGTCTCGGCCAAGCCAGTGCTGTTCTTATGGGAGGAAGTCAAGGTGGGCAAGACCTTGAGTTGAGGGCAAATGGCCTCATTGGAGAGGGATTCAAAGTCCTCCTTGAAGAATTCTTCTGGAGTCTCACATCTCAAGTCACTCATCATCACCTTGGGTCGCAACATCTCCACCCACTGTTTGAAAGGGACAATGGGGCACTTACAGTCCCATGGGTTGTCATGCAGGTCTATTTGGGTGATGGAGGTGAGCTGGTCCAGCACCCCTGCCACTGGCAGGTAAGGGAAATAGTTGTTGTGGATGCTGAGTTTGGAGAGGGAGACCCCAGCAAAGACATCAACAGGGAGGGACCTCAGAAGGTTGTTATTCAAGATGAGAACCCTCAGCTTGGGCATGGCATTAAATGTCCCTGGCATGATGAGCTGGATGACATTAAATTCCATGTTTAGGTATTCCAGGTTCTGCAATCCATTGAACTTCTCCCGGGAGAGTGTGTCCAAATAGTTATTGTCCATGTAGAGCCACACCAGCTCCAAAAGGTTCTTGAAGGTGTTGTTCTCCATGGTGGCGATGTTGTTGTTGCCCAAGTCCAACAGGTTGAGTTTGCGGTAATCCACAAAATGGGATTTTCGAATGGTGTGGATTTTGTTGCCCCTCAAGAAGAGCTCGTGCACGCTGGACGGCTTGGGTTTCAGATCCACCAGGCTGCTGACGTTGCCATCGTTGCAATTCACCTTGAATCCTCCTGGGATCTGGTGGCAGACGCAGGTGGCAGGACAAGGTGTGCTGCTGGAGGACTTGCCTTTCACGTTGATGGTCGAGCTGGCAGCCGTAGGTCTAGTCTTAATCTGCCAGTTCACCGGGATCTTTGTACCCCCGTGAGGAGCAGAGCCCGGGGTGGCAGGGTCTTCCTTGCCATGGATCTTAAAGGGGGTCGGGATGGGCCCGGGATCGCACGTCTCCTCCTCCGCCGGAGGAGCAGCCAGGCTGGAATCCACTCGGTTTTTCCTGCACAGCTCCTGCTCCGTGGTCTCGTTTAGATCCTTGCCCTGCAACCTCGTAGGGGCTTCACAAATCACCCGGCCGATCAGGGCGTTCTTGGGGATGTTCTCCAGCCATTCTTTCAACGAGAGCAGGTCGCACGTGCAGTCCCAAGGGTTATCCTCCAGCAGAATCTCAGCAATGCCCGGGATCTGCTCCAGCACGTCCTCGTAAGGCAAGGTTTTCAGGCGGTTGCCCCGCAGGTCAAGGTGGGTGATGGGCACGTACTGGAACACGTTGGCAGGCAAAACGCTGATGAGGTTGTCGTTTAAAATCAGCACCTCCAGCTTGTTTAAGTCCCGAAAGGCCCCCGGGTCAATATCCCTCAATAAATTAAAATCAGCCTGGAGGTATTCCAGATCGTCCAAGCCCAGGAAGGTCTGCTTGCGAAACGATTTGATCTTGTTGTTGTTGATGTGCAGCCGCTTCACCAGCTGCAGCCCCAGGAAAGCCCCCGGCACGATCTCGTGCAAGCCGTTGTTTTCCATGTGCAAGCTGACTGCATTGTAAAAGTTAGCGAACTCATTGGGGAAAAGGCGAGTGAGGGAATTGCCGTGCAGGAACAAATGGTAGAACTGGGAAGTGGGGGCCGAGAAGCGTTGCAGGCTGGTGAAGCCTTTCTTCTCGCAGTCGACGTGCAAGTCGCCCTCGATCTCGGTGCACAAGCAGATCTTCTCTTTGCAAACGTCCCCTGTAACATTCCCGGCAGCGAAACAAAGAGACGTCTCCAGCAGCAGAATCCAAAGCAGCATTTTTAAACCGAGCGAGTCATCCCCGAGCTGGAGCACACAGAGGAAACGGCAAGGCGGAAATTCTCCCCTCTCACGCCGTCAAGTTCCTTCCAGGCATGGAGTGTCCGAACCGATGCCAAAAAAAAAAAAAAAAGAGGGGGAGGGGGAGGATAGGGGGCAAAAGCCAGAAAAACAGAAAGAGAGAGAGAGAGAGAGAGAGAGATAGTGCTGGGTAGGGAGGAATGAAATGGGGAGGGGAGAGAATCGGAGGATGTGGGGGGCGCTGCCTGGTCTCCTCTTAGCCCTCTCTCCCCCCAAAAACACTGCAACAGCCCGGACTCCAGTCAGCGATCATATCCACAAACTATCCAGGCACGTACTGCGAGGCACAGGAAGGGGGGGAAGTAGAAGACCCCCCTTCATAACCTCCACCCTCAGAGGGGGGCCCCCCGCCCCCAAAGAAGAAGAAAGCGAAGTCGATCTCCGGCCGCCTCGGCGTTAAGGAACGATCTGGCTAGCAATTGGCAGCAGCAGCCGCTGCATAGGCAGGAGGAGCGCGGAGGAGCCGGGAGCGCAGCGGCAGGAGCGGCCCGTGTGCATGGCTTTGGCTTCGGACTGACCTTGCTTTTTTCTCTCGTGCAAAGCCGGCCTCCGGGATCCCTGCTGCTGTTGCTGCCGTCGCCGCTGGATGCCCAGGAGACCCCACTCTGGGTGCTGTCCAGTCCCCCTTGGTGCTGAAATCACGCCCCAGCCTAATGACTGGCTGCCGAACCAATGGCGCTGCAAAAATTCTGCAATCGCTGCGTTTTTGGTCTGTCCATTTCTCCCCCTTACCGCGTTCCCTCGCGTTCTCTCTCTCTCTCTCGGCTTCTCCTGTCTTCCCCTGCGCGCTCGCTCTCTCCTCCCCCCTCTCCCGTCTTCCGAGCTGCACAGTTACTCACTCATTCACGCACATAAGGCAGGAGTTGCTAAGAGGTTCTGCTCTTTCCAGCCTGGTGCACTCGGAAAGATCTGACACCCTCTGCTGAGCCGCAGTGGCAAAAATCCATCTGCTGAGGGAATGCTGGAGAAAGAGGGGGCGCAGGGAGACGGGGTGGGGAGAGAGGAGCGGGGAGAGATGTAGAAAGAAAGAAAGAAAGAAAAATCAATCCAGGTCCAGGGCAAGCGTCAAAGAAATTCTGGCGTGCGAGCCGTCCATCGCTTCTAAGGGCTCCTTCCTAAATGGATTCTTTCATGTCTGCCTTTTAATACTGGAAAGTTGAACATTTCCTGTTTCGCTCTCCATCTGCCCGCCAGGCGGGCGTCACACCTGGATCCGATGTTCTTTCTCTCTGGGAAAGGGCAGGGGAGAGCCGGAGAGAGCCTCCGCTATGCTCCCAGCGTGGCTTGACTCGAATTAGTGTCAGGGTGTCAAGCGACTAGCGATCGGAGGTAATTATGCCGCACGCCATTTTTTCAATGCATTGCTTCCTCCCTCCCTGCAGCAGAGAGGTTGTCACGCTGCATTTGGCATCTTTGTGGCGTCTTTCCTTCTTTCTTTTTCCGTCACCCTCTTCCTTTCTTTTTTTGGAGGGGCTGTTGCTGTGGAGCGATATTTCACAGAGATTCCGAGTTCCTTCCTGCACCTTAGGACCCTCTTCCCTTTTGGTCTAGAAGGGAAAGGGGAAAAAATGATTTCCACCCCACAACTGACTTCTATGGAGGTTGCTGCTGTCCCCCTTTGCACTTAAAAAAAAAATATTTTAAAAAATCACCTTGCTTACCTTATAGAATTCCGCCCGAAGTAGCGTCTTGCCTGTGTGTTGGTGTGAAAATACATATATTTTAAAAAGACTTTAAAAGTGTTGCCGGGGGCTTGTTCAAACCAGGGGTGTTTGCATAATCTGGAGAATTCTTTTTTTAAAAAAAAATACGATGTCCTCAATTAAATAACCAGTTGCATCTCTGATGGTGCATAGAGGAATCCCAGTTCCCGAATCGCTTTGCGCCAAAGGAGACCCGGGGCTGCTGTGCTAACATGCCTTCCCGTCCGCGGCTGGATCCTCTCCCGGGTTTTGCGCATCTGCCGTCCCATAATTGCGTTGGCTCCATTGGTGAACTTTGCGTCCAACTGGCAGGACCGGTGCGGTGGCGGTGGTGATGGAGATGCAGAGAATCCGAAAGATGGGGTGGGGAGATGCAGGGTCTGTGGATGAGGAAAGGCTCAGGGAGCCATCAGAATCCTTCCTCCCTGTCGAGCTGAGCCTTTCTGAGCGATACTTCAAGTCAGACGCCCACCACCCTTTAGCTCACCAGAATGCATTTTCCAATAGGACTGCCTGACACTATTCCAAACTAGAGTCGATGTGGGAGGAAACATGAAATTAGGAACAACAAGGAGACGGGCAATAGCTCCCCCCTCCCCCAGCCCCCTGCAAATAAACAAGCCGTCCCCCCCCAAAAAAATAAAGAAAACCAGGCAAAGAAGGGATCACTGCATGTAAATGAGACTATTAAAGCAGCTTTAAATAAAGAGAAGAGAATCTGGCGTCGCGGTAAGGCCATCGAGTCATTTTCTTTGCTCGCCATAATTTATCTGACTTCGTTTCAGCGCTCTCGAGTCTGGATAAGGGTTTGGCTTGGTATGGGCTATATATTTTATTTTATTTTTGGAGGGGGTGGGAGGGTATATTTACTTTTCCAGAGAGGTTTAGACGCTCTGGAAACCTATGGAAAGCTTAGAGGGGTGTAAGATGGGTGGGGTGAGGGGGAAGCCTGAATAAAGAACTTTGAAAGGGGGGCAGAAAGGGAGATAGGAGCCAAGAGGGCATTAAACTTGCACCACACAAACAGAGGCAAGGGGAGGCACCATCATTTGCCTGAGCTAAATCCCTGAGCTATTTGACTTTTCTCTAGCAGTCTTGCTGGGGGGCTTTGCTACAATGCTGAGACCAGGGAAAGAGCATGAGGTTCCATAGAGCTATGGAGTCATAGAACTGTAGAGTTGGAAGGGACCCTGATGGTCATCTAGTCCAACCTCCGCAATGCAGGAATCTCAAGTAAAGCATCCATGACAGGTGGCCATCATCAACTTCTTTAAAACTTTGAGTAAAGGAGAGTACACCACCTTCTGAGGGAATGCACATGTCCACGTGAGAGTGAGAGCCAGTGCTGGCCTGCCCACAAAACACACTGAGGTAGCTGCCTTGGATGACATCTCTCCCCCCCCCCCCCATCCACTGCACTGGAGAGGAGGTGGTGGTAATGCAGCCAGACAGCAACCTCCTTGCTTCACACTTATGTAAAGGTAAAGGGACCCCTGACCATTAGGTCCAGTCACAGACGACTCTGGGGTTGCTGCACTCATCTCCCTTTATTGGCCAAGGGAGCCAGCATACAGCTTCCACGTCATGTGACCAGCATGACGAAGCTGCTTCTGGCGAATCAGAGCAGCACACAGAAATGCCGTTTACCTTCCCACCAGAGTGGTACCTATTTATCTACTTGCACTTTGACGTGCTTTCGAACTGCTAGGTGGGCAGGAGCTGGGACAGAGCAACAGGAGCTCACCGCATCATTGGGATTCAAACCGCCAACCTTCTGATCAGCAAGTCCTAGGCTCTGTGGTTTAACCCATAGTGCCACCCGTGTCCCTTCACACTTAGAAAGGAGTAAATCCCATTGAGCTCAGTAGGGGTGGCCCAATCTGTTTTGCCACCAACACCACAGGAAAACTTCAGTGCCACCAGTAGCAGACTAGCAAAGTGAGAAGAGAAATCTATTGAATCAGGAAAGGGATTTGACTGTCTTCATTGTGGAATAATGGGCCCTCGTTTAGGTGGCTTTAAAAACAGGCAACCTCAGGGAGAACGATCAACAGCAGTTTGCTTTTAGCCATGGTGATCAAAAGAAACCCACCTAAATATATCTACACACACCTGTATAAATCAGGACAAACCTCCATGCATCTGATGAAGTAGATAGGAGTCCACGAAAGGTTATGCAATACTGATGTGTAGTGTACTAGCCTAGGGATGAAAATATTAATAATATTCTGTTTATACTCCAGATATAAACTCCCACAGACATCTGATTGACCAAAACATTGGAAACAAAGAGAGATTTTCAGTGTTATATATATCTCAATAGAGATCAATGAACAAGTGGATCCTCATCTATTACAGCAAATATATTCTTATATCTGCTCTGGTTGAACTGGAAATAGAGTTTGTGATCAAATACATACTAAGTTGGGCAGAATTATGTCTGAATCCCATAGAAATCAACAGGACAAGTTAGACATGACTTAACTCCCTTTGATTTCAATGGGAGCCTAGTTCAGTTTTCTTAGTCTGGATCCAACCCATTATATGCAGGTGCCAGGTAGTCAGTTTGGAAGAATCCTTAAAATATAAAAGGAACCTGCTCAAAATAACCTCAAGAAGGTGATCAAATTTGACCAAGAACCAGCACTGCTTTCCTTCCAAACTCAGCATTAACTTTGGTGCCAGAATGAATTTCAGTGGCTCCATAAAACGCCATTGTTATAACAATTCTAGACTACCGAAAATTAGCAGTTGTGATCAATATACAATATAGTGCTGCACTTTTACTAATTTGACCTTTTTGCTGAGTAAATTCCTTTCCCTGTCTTGACACATTTGACGCTGGAAACCAGAAGGGCAATGAGGCAGCCAACAAGTTATAGAACAGAATATTAAATTGATCAAAGCATTTTCAGCACAGCACCCTTAGTGGGCACATGGTAGGTAAAAATTCATGCTGCCCTTTTCTCACATAAGTATTAATACATTGAGAAAGGATTTCTCAATTTAAAAGCTGCAGTAATGTGACAAAGAACTGCAGACAGGCATAGATCTAGTACTTTTTCCACAGAACACTGGTTTCTTTTTAAAACTTGCATAACACTTTTCTTCCTAGGCTGTTCAGCTGGAGGCAAAGCAAGCAGCTAAGTACAGTCTGGGAAAAGATTTGTTTTTTCACTTAAGCAATGTGCATAGCTCATTCTGATCTAGACAATAGTATGAGTTTTTTTGGGCAAGGTAGAACCCTATCTTGCCCTTTAAGGGAGGTGGGGAGCTGGGACAAGGCTTTAGAAGTGGTGGCACCCAGGTTGCAGATTTAAGCACTGGTGGAAATCTAGCCTTCTAGCATGAAACAAGGGCCATCTTTCTATCAGTCCAAGCCCTGGTCCTCGGTGATGGGGCTGGTGGAGAGATGGGACCACTTCCACTTCTACTTCCACTTCCACTTCCACAGCTAACCTGCTTGCACTGGCCAGGGCAAAAGGTAAGGGGACAGACTCTATCAGCTCCCAGGCTGACACAGTGCTGAGACCCATATTTGACCCACTGCCATCATGTGATGGCAGCAGAATCAGCACAGCATCCAGCTCCACCCCTTCCCAGTCAAGGAAAGCTCCACTTAGGGAATCCTATTGGCTATCAGTGGCAGAAATGTCTTCCATCCGCCCACTATTTGGCTCCCCGATCTGGTGAGAGTGGCCCACAGAACTAGGCAAAGTTTAGGGGAGGGACACCTCTGCCTCCTCCCATCCTCCAGATTTGGGAACATGGTAGCTCCTATAGAGGTCTTTAGTTAAAGTAACCCGGTCCAACTTCAGGTGGGTAGCTCCAAGGATCTTCACGAGTTTGCTTTTTCCAAAGAAGGTCCACCCACACAAAAGATACTGTCTTATTGGGGGCAGATTGCCAGCAGCAGGAATGATAGATGGGAACATAAAAGCATTATTTAATGTTAATAATATCACTGTGGTTGGAGATATTGTTGAGTGAAGTGATCCTGATAATGTCTATGCCAGGGGTCAGCAAACCTTTTCAGCAGGGGGCCGGTCCACTGTCCCTCAGACCTTGTAGGGGGCCGGACTATATTTTTGGAGAGAAAAAGAACAAATTCCTACCCCCACAAATAACCCAGAGATGCATTTTAAATAAAAGGGCACATTCTACTCATGTAAAAATATGCTGATTCTCAGACCATCCACGGGCCGGATTCAGAAGGCGATTGGGCTGGATCCAGCCCCCAGGCCTTAGTTTGCCTACCCATGGTCTATGCTATCCCTGCAGCTCTCATTAAGCGAAGTCTGGCTCCTCCCCTCAAGCACTGTGATTGGATGATGTTGGGTGAGTGCGGTCATGTTAGCATTCCTCCACATTCCCTCTGCTCCTCTCCCCTCCCTGGTGTTCTCCTAATATGGTGTTGGAGACACTCTGCCTGGCTTTCTGGGAGACTGTTTTGGGGTACAGATCTGTACAAATCTCTGCAAATTGATTCAGGAAATCTAGATCTGTTCTGTAGTCATTTGTAGCTGCTTCGGGATACAAATTGTCCCGATTTGGCCAAATTTGGCGTACAGCCTTATATAACATATATTATGGAAAGTGGCTCACATTTAGTACTGGTTAGAACACTGACCTTAATTTTAATTAGTTCAAGCTGCAGACAAGGGAAAGAGAGGAAAGGGAGAATAAATGGCCTGGATTGCTGCTTTATTAATCAAGCAGGGGGTTGATCTTATCCACCACTGCAGTTTCAGGAGTTCTCTTCAACTTAGTTCTATTGGGATGGATTCAGATTACTTTTTCCTCATATTCTAATGTGACCTTTGTACAGGCACTGCGTGAAATTGCTTCTCTCCAGACAGTTCTACTGCATGATGGGTCCCAGTGCCACAATGCTTTTCACAAGATTAAAAAAAGAATTCCAATACCATGAGGACCTATCTGCCAAAGTCACAGTATGATGGGAAAGCAAATGATTTTCTGAATCCACCCTTACCTTCAGCTGGAGAGCTGAGTCATGCATTGATTCTCTAGTAATCCCTATAAAATGTGTTCAATATAGAGAAGTGCAGTTTCTAATAAAGAGGATCTGTGGTTCTTTAGCTTTGCTTCAGAGGCCCTGGAGATATGTGGAGGAACTCTCAGGTAATGACTTCATTTAGTAAATATCAGTTAAAACATGGTCATCAGTAAGAGTTACATGGACAGTAATCTTGACATGAACTCATATTGGTAGGGACCCACCACAGATAGAATCATAGAATTGTAGAGTTGGATCATCCAGTCTGCAATGCAGAAATCTCAACTGAAGCATCCATGACAGATGGCCGTCTGACCTCTGCTTAAAATAGGGCAGGGATATGTATTAGGAGAGGCAAAACGTAAAGGGTGTCTAAGTCATCCAGGACTTTGTAAAAGATTTGATAAGACTCTATGAGTAGCACATGTCTTCCTTGTAGGAGACGGCAAATAAATACATCTTTAGTATCGTATTTTTCGCTCTATAGAACGCATCCGACCATAGGGCGCACCTTGTTTTAGAGGGGGAGAACAAGAAAAAAAAATC